CAAGACTTCTGTCACTTTGTGTCTCAAGTTCCAGAGCTCTTCTCTAACAATGTCTGACACCTGTCAGCTTACCAGACAAACCATCAGGGTAACAGACAGCCCAGGCATGGCAGGAGAGCCTGTCCAGGAGGAAGAAGACTTGTGGAGGAAGCCAAGAGACCTCGGTACTTCAGAAGCAAGCGTTTTTTGCGTAGGAGACAACATGGAAGTATCTGGGACAGTTTCACAGCCACCGAATATACCAACTCCTTTAAAATGATCGCTGAGGACTGGCAGGATGGCTCACTGGGTAGGAGCGTTTGTTATACAAGCAAGAGGATCTGAGTTCAAATCCCCAGCACTCAAACCTGGCTTTGACCTTGCACCTTGTAACCCCAGCACTGAGATGGGGAGAGACAGGAAGATGGCTGGGGCTCCTCTCTTATGTCTGGTAGAATTTGGAAGTAGACCGGACTGATCCTCAGCTCTTCTTTCTTGGGACCCTCTTTTCCTGCTCCAGTCACACTGCTTGTTAAGATGTTTATTTCCCAAGAAGCCTGCATGGGCCTGACCTAGGCCCTCTGCGCATAAGTTACAGTTGTGTAGCTTGGTCTTCTTATGGGACTCCTAACAGTGGGAACAGGGACCATCTCTGACTCTGTTGCCTGCTTTTGTGACCCTTTCCTCATACCGGGTTGCCTCTTCCAGCCTTAATAAAAGAGAAGGTGCTTAGTCTCACTGTTACTTGATATACCATGACTGGTTGACATCCATGGGAGGCCTGCTGCCCTTTTCTGAAGAGAAACAGAGGAGTGGATAGGGGCAAGGACAGAGAGGGGAGATGGGGAAGGGATTTGGAGGAGAGAAAGGAGGGAAAACTGCAGTAGAGAAGTAAAAACAAAAAAAAAAACAAATAATAAAAAAGTTGTTTATTTCATTTTTGATTTAATTTTGATAAATAATATATGTCTAATGATTTACTCATTTCTTCTAGATTGGTTTTTCTATTTTGGAAGATAAATTTTTAAAGTAATCCTTAATGATTCTCTAGATTGCATTGGTATACAATAGCCATATTTTTAAATACTTGTTTATTTTTACTTTATGTGTATGGGTATGAGTATTTTGCCTGCACGTACATCTGTGCACATATATGCAAAGCCCAGAAGAAGGAGGGCAGCCTGTTCCCTGGATCTGGAATTACAGATGCGTGAGGCACCCTATGGGTCCTGGGAACTAAGCCCAGGTCTTCCGCAAGAGCAGCGAAAGAGCAGCGAATGCTCTTCACTGTTGAGAGTCTCTCTGGCCCCTACAATTGTTGCATTTTCTTTTTGTAACAAAAGGTTGTAGCAAATTGAGTGTTCTTTTTCTTAATAAGTGCCAGATTTTCTTACCTCCTCTGGCTAATTTTAGCTTAAAGTTTCTGTGGTGAGACAGCAAAACAGGTGCACTGGTTTGCTTTAGCGTCTGTTTACTTGAGAATTGAATTCATCATTTCACTTGATGGGTGTGAATGTCTCTGTCAGGGAGGTGTGCTTCCTGGAGACAATGCATATAACTCTATGGCTGTAATTTCAGGCTTTTAATTTGAGATTTAGGGCCTTTTACAGTTAGGGTCATTTAGAGAGATTTGTAGAGCCCCAAAATTTTATTGGTTGTTTTTATAGCTGGTTGAGCTGTTTCTTCTTTTCTTTCTCCCTTGTTTGTATTAAAGTTTGCTGGTTCCTGTGAGGTACGATGGAGATTTCCCTAATTCTCCATTTCTCAGCGTTTTCTCTCATGAAATTGAATCTTTCATGTGTTCTCATGACTGGGTTACCTCAGGCTTCTGGTACCGGTTTCCCATCTCTACACTCACTGACTTCTTGCCCCATATTATTGGTGGCTTTAGAAGACTAAGTTTTTTTTGTAATGGTCATGACATTTCCGTTGGGAAGAGATGCCCACCCTTGTCGTCCACCCATCTTAATCAGGAGACACGCGCCTCAATCTCCTTCCACACAAACGAAAAGTGCTCTTAACGCCCACAATTCAAGATATAAACTGTAAATAACCAATAAATGTGAAGTCTAAGACATGCTGGCAAATGTGCTCTTAGTATTCTGTCTCCTTTAACTTTATGAATTAACTGATTGTAATTCGGGGTCATCGTTTTGTCCTCATGCTCAGTCCATTCTCTTCATAAGGAGTAAGCAATAATGGAATTAAACAGCAATGCTTCACAGTTACTCTTCAATTTCCTAGCTTTTATATTTCAGTACCAACTGCAAGGACTAGAAGTTGCATTTAACTTGAATTCATAACACACAAACCAGCGCTTGCCAGAGCTAGGGATAGTTTCAATTATCTCTTATTTTAACACTTAGAATGTTTCATTAGAAATGCCTCCCATTCTCTCAGAACCAAGCCATGAGCGGATTCAAGGGGGAACAAGGAATCTAATCTTTACCGCTTGCGTTTTTGACTTTAGGTTCAGTACTTGCCTCTACCTGCTCGACTGCTCTGTACCGCTCCTATGCCTGGTGCTCGAGAAACAGCAACTACAAACAAGTTCCCCTTTTGTTGCCGTCTACAGAAATCGATAAGAATGCAATTTGAACAAGGCATGATTTTAATCAGTGCTGCCTCGAATATAGCATCAGGGAAACACTGGGGTCAAAGAGTTGGAGTCGGCCAGAACCACACCAGGAGCCTGTGCTCTTGATACACAGATGTAAATGGCTAGGAGAACAATGTAGCTATGAGTGGATTGGGGGCAGTCTCTTTTTTGCTTCTGCTCGCTCACCTGGGAAGAAAAGTACTTAAACAAAGTCAAGGGCATTTCCCCTGAAGGAGAAAGGAAACCTGTAAGCCAGCCACTCACCAGAGCGTGGGAGAATGGTTGGGCTCAGAACTTGTTTCTGTCTGGGCACGGCACACAAAAAGCCCAAGATGTACACTGTGTCCATCCTCGGTGTTTGAAATTTACCCGGTGACCAGGTCCAGTGTAGGCAGCTGCGGAGGAGCAGAGAAAGCCAGGCTTGGCCCACGTGACGCAGGGAAATGGTCTTGGAGTCACTTTGGGCAAACCAGATGCAAGAAAGTGACTGGTTCCAAAAGCAGGAATGGGGACAAGGGATCAGACTGGGTCATAGTTCGCTTAGCCAGTTCTTGCCAGGCCCTCTGTGCTTGACTGGGGGCACAGGCAGAAGCAGCTGACCCTGCCTTCAGGGTTGTTACTGTGAAATCAGAGCATCTACAAGCTGGGTATGGTATGCAGTGATATGTTTTTTATTATTGTTGTTGCTGTCACTTTTATTTGTTTGATCGTTTTTATTTATTCAGTGTGCAGGAGTAAGGGGAGGCCAGAGGACAGCTTTGGGGAATTGGTTCTTTCTGTCCCTTGTGGGCTTCTAGGATAAAATCCAAGTCATGCCTCGTTATAAGCACACGTATCTGCTGAGCCATCTTGCCGCCCCCTCATCTGTTCTTAATTTTAGGGAACGGGAGCAAAATTATAGGCATCCACAGAAAGAAAACCAGCTTGCCCGGTCAGGCGGCCTGCAGAATGTCATCCACAAGTGACAGAAAATGTGGGCGATCAATAAAGTTACTGCAGCGGGCCAGACCAAATGTGCAGATAGAGTGTGCTTGGTGCGAGTTTCTGTGAACGTATTGACGACTGTAAACTAACACCAGGCGAGGAGAGCACAGACTCCTGCCCTTTTCCTCCCACACCCACCTTCCACCAAGAAAGAACCTGACCAACCACACTCTAATGTTCTAAGAAATTTTACATCTTTACCCAGTGCCCACCTGGGATGCAGGCAAAGACAGGAGTGGTTAATATATAACACTGCCGAAGAGGAAGGCAATGCAGGATAAAGAGTAACTCTGGCGACCTCCAAACAGCACACACTAGCCTGAGGCTCCCTGAATGAAGTCTGGGAGAGTGAAAAGAAGTCACAGCCCCAGATCGGTCTGGCATCCAGGCCACTGGGTGCATTCCTCAGAGACAGGCCCAGTCAAGCGTTCAGCATCCAACTTTGGGCCCCATAACCGAAAATAAGAAGATCTGAAACCAAACGCGGATGAGCCTGCCTTGAGTCGTTAGCCTCCCCTGGGCAATGGCTGGAAATGATTTCAGAGTGATGAAGCTCTGGAAGGGATGTGGGACGCTTCAGTTTGAGCTGCAATGTTCTATAAAGGAGAGAGCCTCAAGTCCATCTCCTCTTGCTAAATAACACAGGAGTTACAAATCCATCTTTCCCATACCATCTTCAAGAGGCGACTAAGTGGGGAAAACACAACGAAATGTAAACATTAAAAGATCCAAGTGTCCTTGTTTGCTTTCTGTTGGTGTGAGAGCAGGGACCAAAACAACTTAGGGAGGAGGAAAGGGTTTGTTTCAGCTTAACAAGTTACAGTCCCTCGTAGACGGGAGTCAGGGCAGGAACCTGGAGGCAGGAGCTGATGCCGAGACCATGGAGGAGTGCTGCCTACTGGCTTGTTCACCATGGATTGTTCAGCCTGCATTCTTATAGAACCTAGAACCTGTGGCACTACTCACAGGGCGTTGGGTCCTCCTGCATCTAATAGCAAATAAGAAAATACCTCACAAACCACTCTGAGGATGGTAATTCTTCAACTGGGGTTCTCTCTGCCCTGGTGACTCCACTTTGTGTCAAGCTGACAAAAAATGAACCAGCACATTTTAACACAGTATTTGACTTTACAGATCAGAAGGGCGATCAGGAAGCTGGGAATGGATCCAGCTGTACCACGCTTGGGCCTGCCTCCAGCGGACTCTGCATCCTACTGCGGATATTCCTGCTCATCTGTGTTCCTTGCTGCTCTATTCATAATAATCAGAAATTGAAGACAGCCTTGATCTAAGTCCAGATGTATTAACCAAAATAATTAAAATTAAAATAACCAGAAAAATGTAAAAAAAAAAACAATTGGCCTGCTATGTCTAAATGAATTACTATGTTCTTTTAAAAATGAACATTTCAAGGTTACTCTGACCTTCATCTAACTTTTTTTTTTTTTTAAACAAATCACAAGACAATAGTTTATTCATTCCATTAGAGAATTAGGTAAACTTCATATTACAAAACCAAAGTAAGTATAATTTTGAAGAATTAGAATATCTTCAAGAAACCAGTTACAGTTTAACTGAAGTGGATGTGAACACAGGGTTGGTGTCTACTGAGGAAGGTCATGTTGCTCTAATATATGAAAAGATAATGAGATACACTTTCTTAGTCATTGAGGAAGAAATTTTCTTTCTTGACAAGCTGGTACTATTTCTTTTTTGTAGCTCTTTTCCCTTCTCCTTTCTTTGGTTTCACCTTTCCACGGAGCTTCTTTAGACGTCTTTGCTCATCCTTAAAATCCTGATGCTCATCTCTGTAGAGGCCAAGGAAACGGAGTGTGCCCATGAGTGCAAAATACGTGTTGTGATTTGGATACCAGTCGTAAGTCTCTTTCTTTTTGGCCAAGGGCTGCTCCCTGAACATATTCACCACTTTCATGGACTTTGAATCGGTAGGCCTGGCCACTTCACCAAAGATTCGGGCACTTAAACGAGACATGCGCAGTGCATATTCTGAAAGCGAAGCCATTTCTTAAGCCGTGAGGTATAAGATTCCCTGTGTCTGACCTTGCTCGCGCGTCCCGGAAAGCCCCCTTCATCTAACTTTTATGTTGACTATGGTCTTTGTGGGTTTGCCCTTAAAACCTCTGTATTCCTGAGCTTGGGCACCAAGAGACTTTGCAGAGACTCAAGCGCTCTCTTGTCTGGCCACCAATGAAAAGGACTCAAAACTTTTAATTTGATTAATTAGCATGGTTGTCAATAACTATTGGGTTCATATTGGCGGGGTTCATTTCAAGAGGATAACTTTGGGTAGTTGGTTTTCTCCCTCACATTGTTAAGATAAGGTCTCTCTTATTTCTGCTACCGTGCTGTGTACTCTAGGCTAGCTCTCTGATTGCTTCTGTACGAGTGCAGGGATTACAAATGTGGGCTACCACATCTAGCTTCCTGGTTGGGTTCTGGGGATCAGAATCACATCTTCAGGATTGCTGGACTAGAGCTTCTAAACAGTGAGTCATCTCTCCAGCTGTACACTGACCCATCTCCTCCATCCACACACTGACCCTTCTCCTCCATCCACACACTGACCCGTCTCCTCCTCCACACACTGACCCTTCTCTGTGGAATTCAGTTCCACAAACACCTTGGCAGATGCTCTTTGTCTTTTGCCTGGAAACAAGCACATGCTCAGAGGTGCTGACTTTTAGTGGGGTGCAGCAAGGGAAGCCCATCCTGAGACAGAGTGTGACCTTAAGCTGGACTGCAACACACTCTGCTCTCGTGGCAGTCTCAAGTTTACTATCAGCCGCCGACAATGGCTAGGGAAGGCCTGGCTCTGTGGTGGTGTGCAGGTCAGCATCACTCTTTCCAAAGGGTTTTATGATACACACTAGAGAAAAGTGGAGAGCTGCGAGCAAACAGACCAAGTATTTGGAGGTATAGCAACAAGGTTAAAACATAACTCAGGCTTAGACTCGGGCATCTTCAGAGCCTGTCAAGGAACATAAAAATACAGACAAGACAAGAGCAGTAAAAAATAGGGACGGGTATGGCCGGCAGGGATGTGGTAAAAGTCTTCAAATTCTAGTTATTTTAATAATGTATTCTGAGACACACGTACAGACTGCAGTGCTCTGGGGGTCAAAGCCTGGGACTTCTGGGCTCTGCTAGGCCCTTAGATCATTGCTTCCTCAGGAGTTTTATGACAAAACTTTATGATCAAAGCAACTTATAAAAGAGAGAGTGGAGGCTTACAGTTCAGACAGTGAGTCCGTCGCCATCATGGAGGATAGCATGTCAGCAAGCAGGCACGTATGGTTCTGGAACAGTAGGCAAGAGCTCACATTCTCATCCAGAAGTGGAGGCAAGGAGAGAGCTAGCTAGTAACACTAGAGGCTTTTGAAACTGCAAAGCTCACTCCCAATGGCAGGCCTCCTCCAACAGGCCACACCTCCTAATCCTTCCCAAACAGCTGCACCAGTTGGGGACCAAATATTAAAAACATGAGACTACATAGGCAACTCTCATTCATACCACCTGAGCAGGTCATCCAATTATCAATGGAGTTCAGCAGCCTTTGTTGAATCCAGTTTGGGAATGAGGATGCAAACATTATTCCTTCCCACCTACCACCATGGGAGAGGCAAGGGTTCAAGACCTCCCCCTACAAGCTAAGGAGCAAAGAGGGGAAACAAGGTTTGTAAACGCAAATTGTAAACCAGTGTAGTTCAAGGCCAATGAACCTACCACAGGTGAGACTGCCTAGGTCTGCAGAGGTGCTCCGGCAGAAGAGCATTATGTGATTTCCGTCGTGCTGGAAGAGTTAGCAGGAGCTTGGGAGACAGGAAGTAGTAGCTGAGCCTTCTCGCTTATTTCAAAAAACATTGTCTTTTCTGGGATTAAAGTTGCAAGCAAACATTTATAGTGTCTCTGCAAACCAACTGGGCCCATCTGTGGATCTTGTTAAAGATGAGGGACAAAGACTTTGACAATGATTTCCAATGTCTAGGAGAGAACCCAGAAATACTCTCTGGCAGCACAAATGGCTGAGAGCTCAGCAAAGCCACATGGGACTGGGGGGCACTTCTCTCTCTATGGGATCTGCTGGAGTCCAGACAGCCCTTCTCTTAGCCCTAGCACTGCACTATTGCCGACAGCTTGGGTAGCTCATTCCAAGGACTGTATAAATTCCAGAAAGGATGGACCTGTCACAATATTTATGTGAGCCCAGCAATTTCAAGCTGTTCATTAATATGACTTTTTCCATCTCAGTTTGCTGTGTAAGATTCATAATTAATCTTCCAATAGTTATCTATCTATCTATCTATCTATCTATCTATCTATCTATCTATCTATCTATCTACCTACCTGATGTGGGATTCCCCTCTGTATGCTGTGAATATGTTTTATTACCATTGGTTAATAAAGAAGCTGCTTTTGGCCTATGGCAGCCCAGAATAGAGCAAGGCAGGAACTCTAAGCAGAGATAGAGGAGAAAAGAAGGCGGAGCCTGGGAGAGGCCATGTAGCTGCCAAAGGAGAAAGACACCTGCCCACTGGAACCTTACCAATAAACCACAAGCCTTGTGCTAAAATATAAAATATTAGAAATTTAAGATGTAAGAGCCAGCTAGAAATATTCCTAAGCTATTGATCCAACAGTATTGGGATTAATATAATTTCTGTGATTATTTGGGGTCTGGGAAGCTGGGGAAACAAATAAGCAGCCTCCCATTACACCTGCCTACCTATGTATTTTATTATTTATTGAGGCTGGGAATTATTTATTGAGGCTTGTGCAAAATGGAGAAGCCAGAGGACAGCTTTCAGGGGTTGGCTCTCTCCCACTGCTGTGTGGGTCCTGGAGATGGCACTCAGGTGGCCAGACTTGGAGACAAGCATGGTAACCCACCAAGCCATCTGCCCAGCCAGGTAATTCATCTTAACTGAGTAGAAAATCTTTACAAAAGAAAGATTCCTGCTACAGCTATTATCCAGGGATCTATAACTCACTGGTGGGAAATACCCTCTGTTCATTTTTATGGTTCTTCAGTTGCAGGCAGCCAAATGAGACCAAGTTAATTTATAGTGTTTATTGACCCACAGGTTGAGAAGCAGGGCTAAGGAAGCAGACACCACTGGGATACTGTTGGTCTCTCCGGTCTGTCATTCATTTGCCTTTAGTTTAGTCCGGTGTTGGGAAAGGAGCCAATGTGTGGTCTTTTGGTTAAAGCAAGAGAAAATGTCAATGCATCTCGGTACTGTTCTCAACAACTGAGTTTCAGAATCCCCTCCAATGTGCACCAGGAGGAATGGCTAAAGGATGTGAGACAGGTGCGCCATGTGTCTACTCAGCCACAAAGAAGAGTAAAATTGTGCCGGCTTCAGGATCTGATCCAAATGCATCGTATAACCCTAGGAAATTCTCAAAGAATAAAAAAAATGTTATTTTAGAAATAAAATGTTTTTACAAAATCCATTATTATATATAAAGAATACACACCAGTTGAAACATCAGCAACACGTGGGTCCTGCCGCCTGCAGGTCCATTTCTATGCTAAGCCTCTGCGGCTCTACCATTCCCCATAGACAGTGTGGATCCTCAGAGCTCAGCCACATGGTCCGAGTCAAGGCTGTGTGTTCCAGGGTGACACCCACTCTCAGCCAACACCAGGGGAGACTGTTGAGTAATGAAATTGTCTGTCTTTCTCACAAGATGGCTTGTCATTTTGGGGCACATTCTTAAGTACCCAGTGCCAGTGATTCAGTCAAAGAAAAGATTTTTACGTGGAAACTGACGTACTGGTTACTGTTTCTTCTAAGTCCTTATTTCTGTTGCTCTGATGTGACTGAGCAGCAGGATGCTGCACCGAAGGAGACCACCAGTTGCCCTGAAGTTAATGGCGTTCAGGACCAGCAAAAAAATGCATGGGAAACATAAAAGATGTATGGGATCATAAAAGTCATAAAGGCAAGACTCACAGAACCTGTTAACAGTCAAAGTATAATGGTTTATGAATGGTGAAATATCTTTTAATGGGTAAAATTAAAAACCCATTTTAAATGAGCTGAAATGTCACAAAATTATAGCAATGGAGACTCATATTTCTTTCATTGTCACAGGTAGATCAAGAGAATGAGGAGTCAAAACTCAAGCTGGTAGGTCTTCAAAAGCTTTCTCTTTTTTTCCCTTTCTTTCTTTTTCTTTTTCTTCCTTTCTTTTTGGTTTTTTGAGACAGTATTTCTCTGTGTAGCTTCAGTTGTCCTGGAACTCACTCTGTAGACCAGGCTATCCTCTAACTCACAGAGATCCTCCTGTCTCTGCTTCCCTAAATGCTGGGATTAAAGGAGTGCACCACCACTGCCCAGTTTCAAAAGGCTTGCAAATGCTTAAAGAATGAAGAACCTTTAAAAGTACCAATAAAGATGAGTTTTATTTTTTAAATCCTACAGCTGGAGAGATGGCTCAGTGTCTAACAGCACTTGCTGCTCTTGTAGACAACCAGGGTTCAGTTCTCAGCACCACCATGGTGGTTCCCAACCATCTGTAATTCTAGTTTCAGGGTTATGCTGCCTCTTCTGGCAACCACTGGCACTGCATGCACATGGTGCACATACATACAGGTAAACACTCTTGCACATTAAATAAAAGTAAATATTTAAAAATGATCCTGATACCGACATGCATCAACACCCACCGAGGATGTTTCTGTTCTGAACATTCCTTCCCTCCACCAAAATTCAGTACTCTCCCTCTCTCCCTTGCTAAGAATGTCATCTATGTTCTGGGGAATTGAGTGAGGTGTCAAAAAATTTAGGCACAGGAAGGATGTGGTAGCAGACATTCTATATCAGATCATAAAAACACCTGCCAAGATGTCCAGTGTTCTACCTGGCCACTAATTCCAGATGCATGCAGTTTACACTGAGTCTGGGAGGCTCTCCAGGAGCCAAAGCATAAGCCACATCATCCTGCCGCCTTTCTCTTCCTCCTTCTGAGTTCCCTCACTGTCCTGGGAAACATTTCCGTTTCTGGAGGCAAGAGGCTCTCTGCCCCCC